ATTAAATTCAGTTTCCTTTCTCCTTTGTATTCTTGCTTTCATCTTTCTCTTTTGTCACCCCTCCCCATGGTCTTCACTCACACCCCTGTCACTTGGTGCCCATCTGCCCCTCATATACACACACACCCTTTTTTCCCTATAAATACTCCATACTAGAATGGGTGAGGGGCTGGGAATCGGACACCCAGGTAAAGTGGAGTCTGAAATGTCGACACGTTCTTTTCCTGACCAGAGCTGGGTTCTCTTGGTTGAGCGGTTACTCCCCCCATTCCGTGTGCATGCCGGATCTGTTTGCCGTATCACTGTGAGGCGCACTCCCTCTGCGCTGCACAGCCAGCAGCTGCTGCACCTACCTGTTCTACGCTCCTCGGAAAATGGCAGGCTCATACAACAGTTGCTGTGTTTCTTCTTTGGAACTCCTGTAAACTGCCTTCTCCTTTTTGGCAAGATAGGGAGTTGCCTGTAGCCCCTCACTTCCCATTACAAACTGGGGTCCTTATCCCCCTCTGTAAAGTTATCACTGACCTCAGAGTTGTCGATTCATCACATTTGACCTTCCCAGAGTGCATGATTCTATGGTCCATGTCAGATTTTTCTCCCCTTGGCTCTTGCCTGCATGGATGGAAGACTTCTTTAATTGATCTGCTGGCCTCAGTGGCTTTTCCTTCAATTCAGAATCATCTTATTGTTGATTTTCCTAAAGTGCAGCATTGATAGAACATGTCATTCTTCACCTCAGAAACCTTAAGTGGCTCCTCGAGAAGTGCAGACACCCCAACACGACACCAGGATCCTGCGCTCCCTTCCCAGGCACACCGTCCACATTCATGGCTGTGGCCTCAGGCCGTCCCTGGCCCCCTCATGCTCAGGCCACAACACAGTTCCCACCACTCCCTGAGCCCTCCTCGAAACGGCTCACTGCACGGCAGTGTTCCCTCCTGAATGCTCCGTTTTTTCCTGTCAGGTCCAGTTCACATGTCTGTCTCCTGCGAGCCCTTCCTCAGTTTCTCCATTTGCAGTTAGCTAGTCTTTCCACGAGCTTCTGTGGTGCGTTAATTGTGCCTCTCATACCGCCATATTTGGATTCATTATGGTCTGTGTGCCTTACCAGTATGCAGCTTCTGGAAGAATGAAAGGTCCTGCACAAAAGTGTACAATGAAGGAATGACTGACTAAATGAACCCATGAATCTGTGCTTTGGGATTTTACTCCTCAAGTGCTAGAGGGACCCCCAAAATATCCACGGTTGAACCACTCATACCCCTGAGGTTGTTGAAGCTCATTTGTGGTGAGACCTCTCCCTCTTTACCATTCTTACTGCTGGGGCCTGATGTCCACCCTTGAGGAATTGGGCTTGTCCTGACTGTCAGAGAGGCAGTGTAACAGAACCACTGGGGCCTTGGTCTTGAGGCCACCTGCTTGTGTTTCAGTCCCAGCTCTGCCTCTGCTTTGCTGGTGGGGTTAGTGCACCATGGGCAAGGTACTTTCACTCTGTGCCTCAGTTTTCTTTTCTCTTCCCCCCCGCTTCCTCTCCCCCTGCCCCCCTCTCCCCCAAACAGAGAGCCTTATAGTATCTATCTCATAGGGCTGTAGTGAGAAATAGAAAGATAGTAATCCTTGTAAAGCACATAGCTTGGTGCCAGGAGCATAGCAAGCATTCCGTAAATAAGTGTAAGCTGCCAGTGTAAGGTCCTGGGACGTTCTTGTTAGCTTCTAGGTCAAGGCTAATGAACTGGCAGCACTTGTGCTAGTTATGGCCCACACGTGAATATTTTATTGTTTTTGTGGGGTCAGGGAGTGTGGGGGTGGCTACGGAAGTTTAAAAAATAACAGGAAATATAGGAGACTGGATACGAATTCCCTTTAGAACATTAGATCTGAGGTTGTAAATACAGAGTTTAATAATGTGGGCTCAGAAGCCACAGTCTGTATTAGAGTCCTAGCCCTGCGACTTATAAGCTGTGTGGCCCCATGCAAGTTGCTTAACCTCTCTGTTTCTCAACTTCTTTATCTCTGAAATGGAGCTAACAATAGCACTTCATAGGCTTCCTGTGATTATTAAATGGGACAACATATTTAAAGCTCTTACACAGTAAGCAGTGAGTAATGTGTGGTGCTTTTGTTGTCAGTGATGCCCATTTTACTACTGCTGTTGCTACCAGCCAGCAACCCTAGGCCCCAAACCCCTCCAGTGCCAACACTTGGCACTGAGTGGCAGATGCCCCCGTAGAAGAGTATGACCTTTTAAGGTAGCCACAGTCCTTACCTTTCCCTGTCACCTGTGTCCGCCCTGCTCTCGTAAGGACAGTTTTGTTTGTCTCCTCTTGGCCAACCCCACCCTTGGACATCCATGTCCAAGAAGGCTGTGAAGGGAATCAGCCTCTATGAAAGTATGAACCTCAAGGAACGTTTCAGCACAGTGGTTCTTGTGGTCCAGATCGATAGCATCCATGTCCCCTGGAAACTTGTTCTCAGGCCTCACCCCAGAACCAGAAACTCTAGGGCTGGGCCTAGCACCCTGTCTTTTAAGAGCCCCTCCAGCTGGCTCCGATAGCCACTGAAGTGTGAGAACTGCTGATTTGAACACATATGTTCTATATTCATATTCCCTACGTTTGGTTTATATGTAAAATTTAAAATGTTGTGTTTTGTTTCTAGGCACTTCAAATGATTTGTAAATTGCACCCTTTCCTCTCAGTAGGACCGCTGTCTTCTAAACGTGCATTCCCGGAGGTACTAGACACTGCTGGGAGTGGGTTCTTCCACTTGGGAGTTTTTATTCTGTTAAGATGCATGTGAACTGTAATCTTTTTAACTTGCTGGAAGAATGCAGTTTACCTGGGGGGTGATGATCAGATATTTTTAGAAAGAAGACTTTAGAAAGCTAATGGGAGGAACTGCTTTTAAATGGGTATGGAATGTATGAAGTGATAGATTTAATAAGATTGAATAATTCTTTTATGGGTTCTAAAGCAATGAAGACTTTCTGTCAGCCATCTAAACTTCTGTGATTTGGGAGTTGACACTGCCTGTCTGCCTCCACCTTCCCCCTTTACAGTAATTTTCCCTGGTTTCTCAAGAAGCCTTCCACATGGGGCAATACCCTTTCCCCTCCTCTTGCCCCAGGGTTATTCCGAAGACCTTATCTAGTAAAAGTCATTACATTTAGCTTTGGAGAAAATCCCTTAATTGTGCTGTGAGCTCTTGCAGGATATCAAAGCTCCTATTTTTTGTTTTTTATTCTCTTCTATGTGTCATTAAGACTCATGGCTATGGCATAGCATCCCATTTTATAAGTATTCTAGAATTTAATATTTGTGATCCCTAGTGTGGGAAGTTCTCGGATAGTTGCTTTGTATTTTGTGCATGTGATTTGAAGAGGGCTCTAATATGCCTCTTCTCTAAGTTCTTATTAGATGATTCCATTCTATACACCAGGTACTCTGCTTTTGATGATAATGTTATTGCAATAGAATTAAATATTTGTATTTATGGAGGACAGGTTTGCTATTGAAATTCTATCTTGAAAGAGCTTTCTAAGAATTACATACATTATCTAGATGCGGGTACTTACAATACAGTATTTGAGTTGACTCATGATTGTGTAGCGTGCTCAGTAGAAGTAAGGTGGATTTAGTGACATCATTCACCGTTATCAGGATTTAACTCTTTTATTGGAGAGAATGAAAATCAGGCATCAAAAGTACTTTCTAAAAGGAGAGTTTTGGAGATTCTAATATGCTACAGTTATACATTTTACTTAACCAAAACCAACAGTACATGACTGTATCATTTTGTCAGTAGCTTTAAAACTGAAATGTCAGTAGACATTATCCCCCTAGCTCTCCACGTCCTGTCCAGTAGTCCTGCTCCCTTCATGAGCATTTGCTGAGAACCCAAGAACGCTCCCCACATCCCCGGCCCGTGTACATGCTGTAGGAAGGCAGCTGAAAAGAGCTTGAGGTTTCAAGAAATTTATATCATCTTTTGATAACAAAAACCGCAGTGAGAGTTGACTTCCCTTTTTCTTTTCTAGCATGTAAAAATAAAATCAGTTTGGTTTATTTATCAAATATTTATTGATTGCACCATGAAACACCATCTCTGCCCTCAGGAGTACACATAGGTTATTAAAAGAGTAGGTACATGTGTGAGCAAGTAATTACAAAGCAGTGTGACAAGTACAATAATTGAGGCGTGACAGATGAGGGAGTGATTGGGTTTGAGATGGCGGTGGGAGGTTGGCCAGATAAGATTTCATCAACTCAGTGATGGCAACTTAGGGTTTCACAGATGGATAAGAGTTTTCTTGGTGAGTCAGAGGGAAAATCACATGTGCAATGGCACAGGGGCAAAAAGGAGCATGGTGTGTTCCGACAGTTACAAATTTATAGAGGAGTGTAAATTTCAGGGATGGAAGAGCACTTAGGAGATAAGGCCAGGGAAGTAGGTAAGTTCCAGGGCCTCCAGGACTTTTGAGGGGATAGGAAGAGGCCTGGGTTTCACCTTATGGTGATGATGTTGGAGCTAGAGGCACATTTACAGACCGCTGACTACTCCTTTGTGCATTTTCTCTAGAAGACATGTGGGAGATACTAAGAAAACATGACATTTTCTATCTTCAAAACATGTTGTCTTTCTTGGAGAATCCTAAACATCTTTGAGGGATACAGTCAAGAATACAGTGAAGTAGGGCCGGCCGAATGGTGCGTTGCTTAAGAGCTGGCTTGGGACGCCGGAGGGCCCCGGTTCCGATCCCACATATGAGGGCCAGTGACACTGCCCTCTACAGCTAAGATGCTGAACAACAGCTCAACCTGGAGCTGGGGATGCAGCCCCTACTGCAGTGTGTTGCCATGGGCTACCATGTGTAGCCAGCAGCCCCTGTGAGCGGCCGTCCAGAAGCCGGCGACTGATCTGCCTCGCCTGGGAAGAGCGCAATGATGGTGCCAACTTGGGCCAGTGAAGCAACGTCCTCCACAACTGGACTGAAGAACAAAAGGACAGCAACTTGTCTGTTCCCCTTCCCCCAATTCCCTAATAAAAATCTTAAAAAAAAAAAAGAATACAGCGAACTAGTCAAGGGAAATCTACAAAGTGAGGGCCCTACTACATACCCAAACAGTGGGAGAAGTAATTATTTTCAGCCAGAGGTGTGAGGCAAGAGAATAGAGGTGGTGGCCCAGGAAGGCGTTGCTGAGTAGGTGGCATGTGTAACCATTATTAGAGTATTTGCTGGGCAGAGGGAGAATTCCAAAGGAGACCAGTACAGTATTCTTAGCCTTGAATTGTCCACTGTTAGGGTGTAAGCAAAGTATTATAGTACAGTATTTTATGTGGCTTAATAATGGTGCTTGTGCCTCCTGTGGTGTGATGCAGTAATATGGAAAAGGCGCTTTCATCTGGGTTTCCAGAGGGCTTTCTGACTGCCTTCAGCTCCCCAGACGTTTCATATCTAGCATCCCTTTCAACCCCTAACTTCAGCTTTGTTTTACCAAAGGACTTTCAAGGTGTTTTAGCTATTTATCTTTTTATCAGCCCAAGTATTAACATTTGTGGGATACTAAGGAATAGTGTTGTTTGTGTTATGTGTGTAAAAGAATGTGAGAAGGTGTTTTGGAGAGGGGTTTTTAGGACTACATTTATGCATAATAAATCTTTTCCAAAATTTAAGTGAAAGTTCTCGAAAAGAGGACCTCTAGTGGCCGTTAGCTTTCTGTTGCATTCTATTCATACTTCATCTTGTTTATGAATAGATCTAGGTGGAATTAAAATTTATATAACCCTTTCCATATACCAAGATAATAAACTACAAGAAAACATTTGTTTCCATCTCTTTTTTTTTTTGTCATTACTTAAATCTTAACTTTCAATAAATTGTCTTTCGAAGTCTTGTCCATAAGTAGAAGTTAACCATGATAAAGTTGTCAATTTAGGGTTATATTGTCTGTCTGACTAGTATGATTTTCTTGGGTTGATGCTGTGATCTTTCTCCCTCTCATACAGAATAACCTGCTTGTGAATTTTTTACATAAAAATATATATATTAAGGGATCCATGCAAATGTTAGTTGCTGCCAAAAAGAGAGTTGTTTCTTTAGCTATAAACAGTTGATTTTGCAATTTGCAGTCAGTCTTACTGTTGGTTTGACTGTGAGTATATGGAACTCTGGCAAAATGAAACGGAGCAAAGCACACAAAGAAGACAGCCACGACAATAAATACTTTACCTTCCAGCCTTTTGGTTTTTTTGCTGTCCTTACTTTTTGACTTTCTATAGGAATTGTATACTTTTTTTGCAATCACCACATAAAACAGAAGCATTAGGACAAAAACAGTCCAGAAAATGAACTGGCATACGTAATTCACGCCTTGATGCCATTTCAGCCCCAGGGGACCTTTTAAGGAGGCACACTTTTTCACAGACGACGGTGTGGCCTCCTTGTTGCTTAAGATGATATTTGGCAGAGAGATGAAGAACAGAAGAAACCAGATGAGGGTTGAGACCGTTTTTGCAAACACAGGTTTTTGTACACAAAATTTCCCAAAAGGTCTGATGATCTTCAGGAATCTGTCAAAAGCGACGAGGCCCAGCAGGATGATGCCCACATACATGGTCTCATAAAAGATGACGGCCGAGAAGCGACACACGAAGGCTCTAAGTTGCCAGGGTCCAAGGTGGGAGTCGGAGAGGATTTTAAATGGAAGCGTGAGTGTCATTATCAAGTCAGCCACCAAAGTGTTTTTGAGGTAGACAATGAACGTGGAGGAGCTTGGGATGTGAACAAACACCCACAAGGCCAAGGTATTCAGCAGGATGCCGGTGAAGAACACGACGGTGTAGAGGGCTGGGAACACCAGCTGTGTTATCTGCGTGTCCCTGGGGCACCGCTCTGACCCGTTGGAGCTCTTCATCACAGTGGTGTTCATGGTTTCCAGTGTTAGCTGTTACACACACACACACACACACACACACACACACACACACACACACACACACACACAAAATGAAATGAAGCCTTTCATGATTTCGAAATGCTGCTTTTCAGTAACAGAATGTAGGTTTGTAGCATATTAACACCTTACATATTAACACCATCACATTCAATAGATCATTTGAGAAGGCACATATTTCTGGCAAGAATTTTCAGCATACGTAATACGTTTTTGGTGCTTGTAATCGTCATTACTTGCACACCCTTCTGAAATCCAAATCACAGCTTCTCCCCCATTCACAAGTGCTGCTTTTACCAGGGCAGCCCAACAAGGCCCCATGTAAGAGGTAATAATTTATGTCAGATTCCTGTACGTTATAGAATTCCTTATGCTCATAACTTAGGGTTTGTACAATGTTAACTAACCTCAAAGCATTTTCCCCCTTGAGCCTACTGTATCTTTTATAAGCAAGCCCACTTATAATAAATATTGAAATTCACCTTTGTTGGGGAGGCTCCTTGGCTCCGTGTCTTCTGATAGAGGCAGTCATTAGAACAGCTCCTAAAGATCATGGGAAGCAAATGTTCTTCTGCTTTCTTATACTGGGTTTCCTTCCTCATTTTCATGTGTGTAATGTGATCCATTGGAACCTCTTCATATACAAACCTTGGGAGGATTTTCTAATAAGAAACTTCTTTTAGTTCAAACTTGTGTACTGCTAATCTACTACGACTTGCATAAAGTAGTTTAGTTGCAGTTATCTTTATATTGTCCCATATAGTAGCTCTCCTCCAGCTTCTCTTCTTTACCTGCTTGTTCAGTGAAATTTTTGAGTTCCTCCTGTATGTAATAATAGGAGACAGACAGACAGAGAAAATAGCCCCAATTTACAACCGAGGAGGAGAATAAGAGTTAACTCTAAAATCAGAATCATCATATGCCTCCTTATAGACTGTTGTTTTCTAGAAATTTGTGTTTAGTGGGATGGCCTGTTTATTTCTATAGACATTTATCTGGGTCTCCTGGTTTTTCAATTTCTGAGAGACAAAATGACAAATTTGCTAAGAGTTAAGGACTAATAGACCCAGATTTTAGGGGTTAGAATCCCAGATTCATTAATTATTGAGTACTATTGGGTTGTTGGAAAAGTCATGACATATTTTTTTCTATGTTTTTCATTGCAAAAGTGCATCATGACTTTTCCAACAACCCAATAGATCATGGACAAGTAATTTATAGCTCTGTGCCTCAGTCACCTCATCTGTGTAATGGGACTGATGATAATATGTATCTCATCGTCTTGCCGAGAGGATGAAATGAGTGCCTAGAATAGTGCTGGTGACATAGGAAGTGCTAAAAAATGTGAGCCACTCACTGCTGTGGTGAGTGGATTACAGATCTAAATGGAAATATACTCTAATATCTCACTGATTGGACAATGATTTTTGGAAATCTCTTCTGTGTTTGATGTGTTGTATATGAAATGCCAAAGCCTTCAGGAATTTCATCAATCTTGAGTTAAGGTCTATACATTTTTCCTTTAAATTCTCTTCAAGTTTGAAAGAGTATAATTGCTGCTTTTATATACAGAAAGTCTACGACAGAAATGTTTTCATGCCTGATAAGTAAAGAGGAAATTTGGAGATATTAAGAGGGAATGTGGAGTTCTCTGTGGTGAGCTTCACTTCATATTTTTTGCTGCAAGTTTTACCACAGATTAGGAGTAGACTGTAGAGTTGGGTTGATTGGAAATTTTTCGGTGACTTGCCTTGGGATTCTGAGAATAAAATCCCAAAATCCACTGAACATTTTAAAATATAAGGCAATAGTAGTATGCCTGATAATTTGGGGTTGGAACTACCCAGTGGTGACACAGTTTGAAAAATATGTGTTTAACTCAAATTGTTTCATGGAAATATAGATTCTGGATTTCATTAATGTAATGGAACATAATTTAAACATGTATCTTTGTTTGCTTAAGTAGACAATAAAAACAAACACATTTTTATTTTTTAAGTAGAGGGATTTAACCTACATAATTAAATTTAACCCGATAGTGCCAAATCCATTATCTAGATGAAGGCTTGGAATAGTTTCAGTTTAAACAAGGAAAATGCTGTATAAGATAATTTCATAACATGAAAACTGGAAATCACATTTTGGTCAAATTTCAAAATGCCCAAGTGTGGGAAACTCAAAAGAGGAACTCACGTGTACCTTCTAGAGTTAAGGAAGTGTACTTTTTAAAATGTGGTAGGTTCCACAATGTTTGACATAATAAATATTCATCAGATCACTCATTCCTGCAAGTCCACATGCTTACTATGTATTAGCCAATGTTCCCTTTGTTCTCATCAGTTCCCATCCCTCTGGGTGGGTCTTTGTCTTTTATGGCGTTTCTGAGAGGCTGCCCAGCAGAACAGATAGGAGCACTGCCTCAAGAGCCAGGGTGTCTGGGCTCAACTCCTTATTCCCACTCTTCATTTTCTTGAGACCTTGGGCAAGTTATGTATGTTCTCTATGAAACCACTGTCTCCTCTTTACAACAAAATAAGTAATAGTATGTGCTTTATTGTGTTGTTAAGGGGATAAAATGAGTGAATATTCACCAAGTGTGGAGAATAATGTCTGTCACGCAGTAGGTGTTAGTGTATTTCTTGTTAAATGAAATGAAAAGAACAGTGGAATACTGTGTACCACTGTGAGGATAGCTCATGAAAGACAGGAGGGAAGAATCAGAGAAGATACAAGGTCCCAGAAATTAGGAACCTGCCAAATGGGAATAAACTAAATGTTTAAATCCTATCAGTCTCAAAGGGAATATAGTGAAAACTTATAAAGTTCTAAGTGATAATATGATCTTATTTAATTCTTACAACAATCTTCAGAGATAGGTCCCATTTTACAGAAAAGAAAACTGAGGTACAGAAGTTAAGCAGTTTTTCCAAAGTCATGTACCCAAGCCCACTGACAGCCCACAGAATCTAGTTCCAAAACCCGTACTCAAAACCTACCTCACTCACCTGACTGTTAGAAGCCACAGAAGGGGTGAAGATGGAACTGTTTACCAAATTCTGGAGTTTTTGAGCTGGATATTACTGAGTGATGAGTGAGAAGAAACAATCAACTCTCAAGTTAATGGACTTGTGAAACTTACAGCCTCAAAGTGAGGTGTGAGGTTGAAAATATAAATCGGTTCCAAGCAGCATAATCGGGAGAGAATCAAAGAAGATATAAAAATTAGAATCCTGCCAAACGGGAATAAACTACTTTTTCCATTTGTGGTCTTCTTTGAGATTTCCCTTTGGTCTAAAGGTTCTTACCACATGTAATGTGGTAACCAGTTCTATGTAAATAATATTGAAAAAATGAGGAAGTGTTTGCTTTTATGTGGAATGAAAGCCTAAGTGGGAACTCTCTACTCATAGAAGAGCCTTTTATTTCCCATCAACGTATACCACGGTACTTTCTCAGATTATAGGAAACTTGTAAAAATCCCACACTGGGTTAACTGAAAGCGCCAATAGTAAGCTAACACAAGCTGTATCATTAATTACATTACATATTAGAAAACTCTGGGCTGGCCGAGTGGCACGATGGTTAAGAACTCGCTTGGGATGCCAGAGGGCCCCGGTTCGGATCCCACATAGAGGGCCAGTGACACTGCCCTCTACAGCTAAGATGCTGAACAACAGCTCAACCTGGAGCTGAGCTGCCATGAGTCGCCGGCGACGGCGTAGGCTGCA